ATCAGCGATCATAACCGAGAAACTGGACAAGAGAAAACGGGACGAGAAATGACTGCAGGGGTATAGTAAGGCGACGATAGCATAAGGGATAAGAAACAGGGAAGAGAAGCAAAACGGTTGAACACAACTTTCAGTTAATATGATCACAGTGAATACGAACTTTTGTGCAGATGCGTGATGATAACGATATGCGGATAGTTCTTGATATATAGCTGGCTGCATGTGATTATAGGATTCTTCCAGTTTATAGAAGTAAGATCAGAATGATAACAGGTTTATTATCGCGCTCACTGGAAAAGGCAGCATCTAGACCTTCCAACTCGGGACAATGTGCAGCTGGTACTGCGTTACGCAACGTATAATATCTCTGTGCTACTCTGAAACGGAAAGCCACACTGGTACCGCCACGACGTTTGTCCAAGTACATTGCCCTATCGTGGTCATGACATCTTGGGTGACTTTGTATCTTAGCGAAACACGAAGTCTGGGGTCTTTAGATGGGGCATGGAGCATGGAGCATGGGGCCGATTACAGACATCACGAGTTCTTCACATGCAGAACGGCTTTCTGCATGCCTTGAGGAGACTGCGATAACGTGTGACAGAAGAGCCGGGTCTTTGTGGGGTGGGTTAGGTTACCTGTAACTAATATGGTGATTTCGTGTGTCTTCGAATATATCTCTATGAGCATCTCTATGATTGTGTACCTACTAGTGACGTACATGAGATTACCACTCATCTATGTTTATCATTGAAGCGGGCAGTTATAAAGACATCAAGTAATTATGTATGCTTAATTTGGATTATCATACTCAAAATACAAGCAGTTGCTAATCCCTCGTCAAGTCAACTTCGTCTGCTAAAGTCACGCAGGTAATGTTACTGTGAGTTTCGTTTTTCATTGACAAAGACTTGGACAGCATGATCCCATAGAGACCGGCTCTAGTAGCTATCACTGCGTAGACTCGCATCCTTCTTTGCTTGATGTCTCGCACGTCATAGGCTGCCGTTCCATTTTCATTTGATAATCACAAGACTAAAAGATAACAAAGTGTTGAATAACTGATTCATAGGCGCTGTCTATTGGTAGACCTAGTAATAGCCCTGACCTTGAGGCTGTCCTTGATGCTGATTCCATTGCGGTGGTGGAGATGAGCTATGAGACTGACCATATTGCGGTGGTTGAAACATGACAGGGCTTGAAGCGGTTGAGTGGGTAGGCTGGAAATACGTCTGTGACTGGGGTGAGGAAGTCATTGACATGCTTCGTTGCTGTTGAAGCTGCTACTGGTAGGGAGAGATACCATGGCCTCCGGCAAGTGGCGAGGTTGGAACGGAGTGGGCTGAGGAGTGTCGGAGGTTGGTCATGCTGCTGTGTCTTGGGTTAGGCTGAGCCTGAGACGTAGGCGGCATGGCATTTGATGGGTACTGGACGATTTGAGCTGACGTTGGAGTTGTGGTCATGATGCCCGGGCCTGGTGATTAGGGTTGGCTGGTGCTATTGAATGAATTCCATTGGCCATTGGCACCAACTGTCGGGTGTGGCGAACCTAAGTGAGGAGGAAGGTTAGACATGGAGACCGGCGTGGCTCCTCCGTTATGGGTGTAAGTCTCCACGGCCGGGTCTGGTTTGTATCCGGCGTTGTGGTGATCGACTACATGCATCGCCGTTCCATTCATATTCCCGTTTCCATTGGAAGGGCCACTGTCTGGCTCGTCGGGGATGATACCACCGTAGATGTCATATCGTCTGTCCTTGCTCTTGGAGTAAAAGCTGGTGATCACATGGACAAGGGTGAATAGGAGCATCAAGTTGAGAAATATGGGAACCAGCTGTCCAAATGATGTCATGTCGTCCTGGGCACTCTCGGCCCCTTGGCCGCTCTTGATCAGCCAGCCGGAGCCCCTCGCCCACATGCGAAGCTCTCCGATCTGGTGAGCAGCTGTCCAAACGGTCCAGACCCCTACGGCGATGTTGGCGAAAAGGTAGGAACAGAAAAGGTAAAACAAGATGTTTCCAGGTGAAGGCCACCGACTTGATCCCTGCTTCTGGACTGGTGTTGGTTTGCTTCGTTTCGTCCTTTTCTGGTGCTGCTGACGACTTTCTCGCTTTGCCATGGTGGAAAGATGCAACCAGCTCACGAAGCGAGCCCTCTTACCGGTTGGCTTGGACTGGGCCCCGCGGCGAAAGGCGAGTAGTACATCGACAAATCCAGCGAGAATGTACAGAATGAGTGTTACCAGATAGCAGTTCTAGCCAGGTACTTTATTACTTGGTTTGCTGCTGAGGAATGCATCATTTGACTGGTCGCTCAACGAATGGTGAAGCGTGTTAAGGAGTAGACTGTTTCCCTCTTGAAAGCACGCAGCGGGGAGGAGAATCGAGCTGTAGTTTTTATTATCTGGTACCACGGCGGGAAACTTTCTGTCGTACTCGAAGTCATTGTTCTGGTTCGCGAGGAGGATGCCGGTCACGGTAAAGACTCCCAAGCAGGTCAGGATGCGGAGTAAAGATAGGGTCTTGTACTTCCAATAGTTCCTAACTATTGTCACAGACATGAGATGTGTTGTGCAGGTGAGAATCATCATCATAGCAACAACATCATAGTGATAGGCGGTAGTGCTGCAGCCCTTGAAGTAACGCAGGGCTACAGCATAGGCAGCCCCGGTGAAGATCTGTGTGCCGCTTATCCCGAGGACGAGTTCTTCGCATAACTCAGAGCCCCGGAACTTGTGGAGTTTCTCAGCGAATCTAAGATTCTCCCCCAGCTTGTCGAGCCGAACAAGGTAGCGCCGGTTTTGGATCAAGAGGAAAAGACTGAAGGCACTGAGGCACAGGGCAATCACTGTAGCGGCGATGAAAGAGGTCACGACCTTGGGTGTGGTGACGGACATCAGTTTCAGACCATATGAAGCCACAAGCAGGCTTTGAAGCAGCGAGGAATTGTGGCCTACTTACGCCTATTCCAGCGATATCTGGGTCAGGGGGAAGAGAGCCCTTCAAATACCCCCCGATGATGGTTTGGTTGGGATACGTCTCGTTTCCAGTCGCCAGTATCTCGCAGTTGATATCAATGCCGTAAAGCTCCTTGCAATTTTGAGAAGAGATACAGATGCCCATTGCGGAAGATATGTTTCAAATTGTAGGAGGTTCTTTCATTTGTAGAACTGGTACTGATCGTTGTATATTGTTCTTGATTACTTGAAGTTGCAGCAAGCCGAGATTCAACGAACTGTCTATGGAACCGTGGGAGGAGCAAATGGTTAACATATGAGCCAGACAATCCACAACTTCCCTTTGTTAGCGCTTGGAAGAGGCCTTCATGTTCACATGTAACCATCTTCCCGAGACCTGGGGAACTTAACCTCTCGCTGGGGCTCTGACTTGCACAGGCTGCCTAACCCGTTCACATACTGTAACACGACCAGTATGCACCCGCAAGAGGAGTATCACAGTCACACATTGGACGAGGCTGAACTAATCAAGGGGTATTTGGATCGACTCCAAGGTGATGCAGCTTCGGCATTGCGTTCTTACACGACTTGCTTCGCCTTTCATGCCTATCCAGGCTAGGTATCCTGCAGTGAACATTGAAGGGCCTATAAGGCCGTGGTTTACAGGAAGGATAGTCGACTCATATGGGTGGAAGAGCTATTCTTCGGCGGTTTTGGCAATACGGACATAACTTCTGCATGGCCCAGGCCATGTACACACAATTCGTGTGTGCACTGCTGTTGTGGTATGGGAGGGTGTTGCATCTTGCCTTGTTCATATGTCGGTTGCATATTATATCCCTGATCTGCTCCGTACGATTGAAGTTATTTGGAATTGTTGTCGTTGCCAAATCGACGTCGAAGGCGGTGCAAGTCGTGACCCGGGTCGGTGGTTGGCTTCGGGTCCCTCGGCTGTTGTGTTCCCCGGCCGGCCGGCCAACGGGTGTGCGGGGCACCGACATCCGAAGTCCCCGGTTGGTTAGATTTCTGCCACTAATTTCCGCCTTCAACAGTTGGGCGGGCACAGCGCCAACAAATCCACGACTGGAAGCAACAGCGACACGCAAAGTAGAACAGGATAACAATAACAGGATCGCATGGACCTTGGCTTCAGATGAACACTGGTAGTAAGATATCGGCCCATTCTACGAGAAGAATAGATGCAGCAAATCGCTTACAGGCTTTCAAGACAGCTACAGATACACCGAGACTGCCTGCCTCCAGAGCCACACGTAACTCGACCTTGTCTCCTGCAAGGCCGCCCTGCGCTCCTGAACCACCACGTCGGTTTTCTTTCCAACTGCTCAACTTGCCCGCGAACTCCCAAACCAATCGCGCCTTTCCAATCAACTTCGAGACCCCCGACAGGCGGCATTGCTCTTTGCTGCAGCACATCAATAACGCCTGTCGCAAACCCTCTCCCGACAATTCCTGTGTCCATGACCTCATCCCACCGTCCATGCCAGCCCCTTGGCTCGACACCATGAACTCTAACAGGAGGATGCCCATGGTCAACGGCGTGTGTGACACCCAAATTTCCATTGCGCCAACAAGTGCGACATACTGTAGGCCAGGTTGTTTGCACATCTGCTATTCTGTTCAAGAGGATAGGTAATACCAGGGCAGATGCCGTGCTTACACGCTGTGCAGCATCAGTCTGCCTGTCCTCCTCTACGAATAATTGGTGCCGCCGGCAATCCTGACGCTCGTTTTGCTTCCATGGTCCGCGTCGATCGCGTAGGTCAAGTCAAGTGGCCTGGCACTCCAGCTCTCAAGATTGTACTCTTCGCGAAGAGACCGCCATCGCCCTTTCACTACATGTGTGCGTGAACTACTGGCGGAAAGTTTGACTTTCCGACGCCTCCATGTCGTGAATGCCCGGGGATATCCCGCCCTTTTTTCTCCACAGGCGCAGCCAAAGAACCCACCAGGCGCCAGAGCCAGAGTCTGGAGAACAAAAACTCAAAAGAGGCACCTTCCTTTCAAGCAACAAAAGCCAACTCAGTCGGTTGTATAGTGTAGCGGTTATCACACCAGATTCTGACGCTTGCTCAGGCCTTCTGGTAACCCCGGTTCGATTCCGGGTACGACCTTTCCTTCGCATGTTGGTTTTTGCTCTTTTCCATGTTTCTATTTTAATTTTCTTGTCTGTCTTTCCTTTTTTATTTTTAAATCTCTTTGAAGTCTTTTCCCCAGGCTCGTGGACCTCGGCAACACCGTGACTCGGGCCATTCACTCCGGGTCTGGAATGCCCAGTGCTATTTATTCCTACCGAGTTTACACGGAGCGGGAATAACTAAATTGCCCAGCATTCCAGCTGAAGGGACCTCTTCAATTGTCCCGGCTTGGGCCGTTCCGTACCATTTGCCATCCGAGTGGATGGGAAGAGGGACATTGTTGTGGTGTTGGTTCTAGACAAGACCAACCTCAGAAGGGCAAGAATCCCGGAATTCTGGGTTCCCAGAATGACCAAGTGAGATCCGGTGGCTGCTTTGCCGTGTTGCTGGGTAAAATAGGAGGCGAAAATACCCAAGCGGAAAGTGTTGGACCTGGGCTGGACACATATACTTAAAGCACTTCTTCTCGTTGATGCCCATTTTACCCGAGAAAGCATTACACCCTTAAACGACCCAGCTTGGCTATTTTGCCCCCTCTGGTCCTGGATCGGCCACCAGCACCTAGTACCGGCGATGATCGATCGATCACTGGACCACTTCCCTTGCGGCTCCGAGTTCTACTAATAGTAACGCGCACTGAGCTAGTAAGGGTATTTGTGATGCCCAGTATACCTGTATACATATTTACATGACTATTGCCTCTGGAATGGCATTTCCATATGTGATCTTCCTGGGTTCGTCTTGACACAATTCTTGGTCGACGCCCATGGGGAAAATGAAGGTCTTTATGGCCTTTGCAGCTCTTGTGAGCATCGGCCAAGTCTGTGGGAGCCCAACAGGTCAGGATCGTCACACAAGATCGTCACACGAGCAGACACGAACCCCAAGACGCAACATCCCCAGGACACATGTGTGCCATGAGAGACACACGGCCAGCAACCTTGAAGGATGGGTCAAGGGCGAGAGGCTCAATGCTTCGTCGCTGTTGCCTTTGAGAGTCGGGCTACGGCAGTCCAATCTGGACAAAGGTCATGATTTATTGATGGATATGTAAGTTAGGCCAGGCTGAGGCGTGAGTGTGGTCATGGCATGTGAAAATGGATACCGGCATTGTGATGGTGCTACATGAGAGACTCACAAGGCAAGGTGTATTAGCGCCACCATTTTCACACCCAGGGCTCCGAGACGAAGCAACAGTCTAGTGACGGTTCCAGAACATTTCTAACAGCGAATGACAACACAGATCTGACCCAGACTCGCCCAACTACAGCAAGCATTTGAGCGCAGAGGAAGTGACGGACCTCTTTGCCCCTCCCAAGGAGTCAGTGCACGAGGTTCAGGTGTGGCTAATGTCCGCTGGAATCGACCAGAAGGAGTTGTCACAGTCGACAAATAAACAGGTCGGTACACTCGAGGTCTTTCGAGTAACACCACAAAACTGACAATTGTAATAGTGGATCCAATTTGATGCCACAGTGGAAGAAGCCGAAAAGCTACTTATGACGGATTTTCATTTCTTTGAACACGTCGAGTCCGGCGTAAAGAATATTGCCTGTTCAGAGTAAGGGCGTCTCATCGGCTCTAACAAACTCAACCATACTAACCAGCTGAACACAGATACCATCTCCCTCATCAAGTAGCCAGACATGTGGACTACATCACACCCGGGATCAAACTCATGGCCGGGGGACAAGAGCATAAAGCCCCTGCTATCAGAAGACGGCGGTCTGAGAAAAGGAAAGCCCGTCAATCCAAGACTCGGCATAGAAGAAATGTGGAACCCGACTTTATAAGTCACGGCGTAACAACCGACGCCAACGACGGCAACCCGTCCAGCGATGCCGAGAAGTGGTTCAAGATCACAGGATCGTGTAGCTACGAGGCAACACCGGATTGTGTGAGGGCGCAATACCGAATCCCTAACGGAACCAAAGCCACGCCCGGCAACGAGCTCGGAATTTTCCAGTCCCTGAACCAGCACTACAACCAGTGGGACCTCGACATGTTCTGGAAGTACACGGCGCCGTACATTCCCGCGGGCACACACCCGGAGCTACGATCAATCAACGGGGCTCTAGGCCCAACAGAGATCATCGACGAAGCTGGCGAGGAAGCTGATCTCGACTTTCAAGTTGCTATTCCTTTGGTCTGGCCACAAAAGACGGTCCTCTGGCAGACTGACGACGAGTGGTACCAGAAAGACCAACAACGAGTGGGGACTCGCTATCCCGGATTCTTCAACAGTAAGTTACTGCGTGTCCTGCTACATCCCCCCTCACTGCCTGCCATCGCATCATCTAACAAGCGCCCCTTTATCCAGCCCTCTTCGACGCAATAGACGGCTCCTACTGCACCCTCTCCCTATTCAACCAAACAGGCAACTGTAAATCCCCCAAATGCCAAGACCCCGAGTATCCCAACCCCAACGCGGCAGAATCCCAAGGCGGCTACCAAGGCAGTCTCATGTGCGGCGTCTACAAACCCACCAACGTGATCGCCATCTCGTACAGCGGAAACGAACACGTCCTGCCCCAAAATTACATGCTCCGTCAGTGCTTCGAGGTAATGAAGCTTGCTCTGCAGGGCGTCACTGTGGTCGAATCCAGCGGTGACTATGGCGTCGGCGGACGGCGCTATGATTCTCGAAATGGGTGCTTGGGACCAGAGAAGGATGTGTTTAGTCCTAGGATCATGAGCAATTGTCCTTATGTGCTTAGTGTGGGGGCTACTGCTCTGGTTGAGAATGAGAAATTTGACGCTGGGGTGGTCAACAATGGGACTTGGAAAGGCAAGGGCAAAAAGGGGAAAGAAAAAGGCCCAAAAGAAGGGAAAATGGAAAATGAGCTGGAGTTTACTGAACGGGCGCCGACGAGCTTTGCGAGCGGCGGTGGGTTCTCGAATGTCTTTGCTACACCTGCTTGGCAGAGACGACATGTCGACGGGTACTTGCGACGGGCGAATATCTCGGATCGAGGGTATCAGCTTGGTCCCGTGCCATTGTTGGCTGGAGGAGGGAATTACTCCAACGTTGTGGGGAGAGAGAAACCGGTCAAGTATTTTCACAAGAACGGACGGGGGTACCCGGATGTTTCGGCTTTGGGGGACTATTTCAGGATTATTACGGGCGGGTATTCCCAGCGGCTGGGCGGCACTTCGGTTGCGGCGCCGATTTGGGCTTCGGTGCTGAACGTGTTGAATGAAGAGCGGCTGGCGGTCGGGAAGAGGCCGGTTGGGCTTGTACATCAGGTTTTTGTGAGTGGCAGTCTTTTGTGAGCGATGGTGTCCTTTGGCTGACAGTTGACAATGCAGTATCGCCACCCAGAAGTCTTTACCGACATCACAACGGGGTCGAATCCGGGATGTGGTAGTCCCGGATTCCAGGCCAAAGAAGGATGGGATCCAGTGACTGGTCTTGGGTGAGTAGTCCAATACCGAGAACTTCATTGAATGTTTGCTAACCATGTCCGATTATGTTGTCCCCAGGACACCTATATATCCCAAGCTGTTGGAGCTATTTCTACGCCTCCCTTAGATGTGAAAGCACAAAAGTATATACATAGAGGCACTCTCACAACTTCAACAGCATCCATACAAAATGACAACATGTACAAGTTCCGAAACACATCAAGAAGAAAAGAAAGGCAGGATTCCAAACACAACATAAAGCCAGTATCTCGCCACATGCCTATGGTCCTGCACTTTGGCGAACGTGATAATACCGTCCCTAAATCCGGCCGCACGACCCAACAAGAGGTCTGCAGAGCTAATGTTATAACCGCAGAGAAAGAGCATGCCACCGGCCATGAGAAACCAAAAGAGCACCCCTTCGTCCTTGACTTTGATGACCTTGGCAAAGTAGTCCCTAACCCTGCCGGGTTCAGCTCCCTGTCTCTTGGCCTGGCCCATGTGCTCGCACAACGACCAGATGAAGGCCGCGAGGATGATGATGCCACCGAGGGTCAGGTTGATGATCATGTTGGTCTCTCTCCTGGTGTTCTTGTCATACACCTTTGCTGGTGCAGTTTGCATGGGCTCCTCCCGCAGCTCTTGGTTCAAGAGCTGCTCCGGCACGTTGCCGATCAGTTCGCCGATGCCGATGCAGAGCACGATCACGATACTGACAAGTACAAAGAACGCCACCGGAAAGAGACTGCAGGGCCGGCGCCGTCTTTGTTGTCGTTGGCGTCGAGGTCGAGTGGTTGGCCTTTCTGCCGTGTTCAAGTTGATGTTGTTGTTGTTTCGCGTTCCGTCTTCAAGTTCGCCTCCATCCGCACTAGCTCCAGCTGCACGTCTTGAGGAGGTGTAGCTAGGGAGCCTGGAGTTCACGGCGGCCGCCCGAGGGTAGCTCGGACCGAGGTTTTGCATTTCAAAGTCTCGAATCGTGCCGTCGCCGTCTTTGCGGGGAGAGTATGGCGGCGGCGCCTCCGTCACTGGGGACGATGCTGATGCTGATGTCGATTCCGGCGGCGATCGTGCACCAGTACGTCGATGTCGAGGCGGAGTGGGAGGATTGTAGCGAGAAAAAAGGTAAGAAGAAAAGGAAATAGTCTTCCGCACGAACATAGCGTAAACGATCAGCACTCCTGCCAAGAAGGTCAAGATCGCGTGGGCCAGTCCAATGATCTGGAGGTCGTGATTTCTCGCATACAGGAGGTTCAGGAGCTGGAGCATCGACTGGCCCGCGAGCCGAACAATGGAGAGCGCGATCGCCGCTTGGACATGTTTCAACTTTCTGGTCAAGCAGGGAGAACGTCCGGAAATGAGCATGCAGAAGATGTATATGGATACGAAATCGCAGAACACGCCAAAGTACCCGTAGGGCACAGCATACGGCTGGTAGTGATTCTGGAAGTAGACCATGTCGGCTCAGTGACGATGGACGAGCTGGAGGGCAACTTGGTGTCGCATCCGTTGGTTGTTTGGTGCACTCTTTTGTCTGTCGAGCGAGAGAAATAGTGGCCAGGTTCGGCCTGGCT